TGAGACGAAGACAAGTTTGACTAAGAAGGGCAGTCCCACCAGAGCTCAGGGGGTTGGGGTTTGGTATAAGCACCTTAGGCAGCCAATATTCACACTGTGCTGCTTCCCACAGGTGGCTTTGTATTTATGTTGAGGGGTGGGGGAGGGAAATGGCACCAGCCAGCTCCTGTGTTTTCAGAGAGGTGTCTCGGTGAATGCTGCCTCTCAGGGATGCACTCTGAGGACAGCAAATAATCTCCCCATACATTCTGCAGATCACTGTTTCTGTGCTGTCTGCTCCCAGTTGTTTACCTGCCTTCTCTCTAGGGGCAGCACAGTGCCCTCTAGACTCTATCCCAGTCAAGCCCACCGACCTTTAAAATTCTAGTGCTTTGGGGTGCCTGGGTAGCTCAGTCCTTAAGCATCTGCCTTCGGCTCAGGTCATGATCCCAGGGTCCTGGGATCAAGCCCCACGTCAGGCTCCCTGCTCCGTGGGAAGCCTGCTTCTCCCTCCCCCACTCCCCCTGCTTGTGTTCCCTCTCTTGCTGTGTCTCTCTCTGTCGAATAAATAAAATCTTTAAAAAGATAAATAAATAAATAAAATTCCAATGCTTTAAGCCCTGGTTCCAAGAACTCAGAATTCAACCCTTTTCATTTTCTAAGCCAATGGGGAAATGTTATCCTTGTGTGTTCCCCTGTGTACTCCCCCTCTCTTGTCCTTCTCCTTGACCACCACCCCTTCCCCTCTGCAGCACCCATGATCCATTTCTCCCCTAAACCTTGTCTCTGCACTTCCTAACTTTTTCAGTGTGGCCTCTTCTCTCCCTTTAGTTGTAGAGTTTCTTCTGTCTTCATGTCAATTTCTGGGGTATTTAGGATGATTTGATAGTTATCTAGTTGTGTTTGTGGGACGAGACGAGCCTAGACTCCTCTTACTCCACAGCTGTGTTCCTCTCTGCTAATCAAATCCCAGAAGTTTTAAATTGTTTGACAAGGAAGCATACCAGAAAATGAAATACTATGCATTTAAAAACTATTCCTTTGGAGCAAAAAATAAATATATGAGTAGTTATAACATTAAAATTGTTAATATTTAGTTATTCTTATTTCTTTTTTATCAAATGTGTTTTTCTAAAAAGAAAACTATTTTTGTCTTTTATAAAATTATGTCCATAAAGAGACATATATCTTAAGACATTTGCATGTAAAATAGTATAAACATATAGTTATTAAACTTCCTTCAGAAAATAAAATTAATATTATTTTTGTTGATTTCTTTAAAGGTTTCACAAGTTTGAATATTTGAAAGGAACGACAGGTTTCTGCAGAGCATACTCACATAAGGCTTTTATTTTATTTATTTATTTATTTTTAATTTAAGGCAGTTTAAAAAAAGGCATAAACAAGCATAGGGGGTACAGGTGACATTCAGCCACAAGCACCCTTAGGGTCTCTAGACAAAGACATGCTTTGTCTCCAGATTCAGTTACCAAGATGTGTCTTTTTTTGCCCCTCTGCTCACATAGTCCATCCCTGTTGTCTAACCAGTCCAAGGTGAAAACCATCAGTAGACAAATCCTGTTTGGGGGTTACCAGGTGGGATTCAGACTTGAAGCAGCACATCATAAATACTACCTCCCATTTTTTGGCCAAGAGTTAAGGCTAAAAATTCAAGCATCCCAAAGCTTTCTCAGCTGTAATCTAGCTCTACCACACAGTTCTTGACAATTTAAATTCTTAAAAAGGGCGAAATTATGATAATAGTTTGCATTTGTATAAACTACAATAAAGTTTATAAAAGTGCTTTAATATGCATTAACTTATTTGAACTTTATGTTAATTTTGTGAGCTATGCAGGAAAATTGTTCTTAATCTCTATTTTACAGCTACAGTTCTGAGACTCAGAAAGGTTAAGTGATTGGCCCAGTTCACATGGCTTTTGTGGTGGTGGAGTAAGGTCCAGAAGACAGACCTTACAACTTTTATTCTAGAATATTTTTTAGTATTTCATGCCAGAAGTAGAAGGAAGTATTTAGTTCATTTCTATCTTGTGAAACAAGGTAGGAATAAACATATATGTATTTTGTATATATTTTTTAATATATAGTTTATATATTTATATATAGTTTTGTATATTTGTATATATCATGTGTATGTGTGTGTGTGTGTGTGTGTATATATATATATACAGTTTCTGTTACCTAATAATTATCTGATACATTTTAGCTAGTGTTAGATTTTTATTTCCTACTGTCTTTTATATATATATATATATATGTATATATACACACACACACATGAATATCAAATTTGATATGCAGGATCTAAAGTAAAATATCAAGATATAAGTTGTAACTGTTACTCTTTATCTCCTTTCCTTTTATGCTTTTTCATTGATTTATGATATATTTACATGTCTTCCATATGCCAGGTACTGTGCTATCTCCTGAGGATTTAAAATTAATAAAATGTGATTCTTGCCTTTAATGATCTTATATTCCATTTTTTTATAAACTCTACAATTCCACAAGGAAGTATGTGTTAATGTACAAAGTATTATGTATTATGCAGACTGGCATTATAAAGGTCTTTTGCCTAGGAGAAGTTAAGGAAGACTGGAGATGAGGAGTCTTTTGAGCTAAGTCTTGAAGATTTTTGAGGAATATATCAGAAAAAGAGGGAGTTTAGTTCAGTCAAATGTGAAAAAATAGACAAGGATCTGTTTTAAGAAACAGTTAGTTAGTGCTCTGTTATACTTGAAACATAAATTAACATGAAGGGAATTGGCAAGAGATGAGACTCCTTGGGGCCAAATGATGATTAGCCTTATATGCCATGCAGAGGAGTGTTGATTGTGTGCCCAAAGAAGTAGGGAATCCAGAAAATGTTATTAAACAAGGATTTTTAACAGTAGCTAACCTTAATTTGCAGATAAGATGCATTATAGAAATTGAATTAAGGAAGAGACCCACAGTGAGGACTTCAGTTTGGAAACTATTGGACTAGTACTGGAAGTAATGATGGGACCAAAGGTTGGGCCATGAATTGGAAATGGAATACACAATTGAAAGACAATTTAGAAGTAGAATCATTAGGAAAATTAGAAATCAGGAGATCATCTATTGTAGGGTCTTGGTCTTTGCAGATTATCTAATCCACCTCCCTGTTGTTGGACATAAGATAGCTGAGACGCTTGTGGTCAGGTGAATTGCCTTAGGCCACATTCCTAGTTAGTGACAGAACTAGGTTCCTGACTCTGGGGTTTTCCATATTGCATCGTATTCTGATTGTTTCTCTAACTGATCTTTTTTTTTTCTTAATCATGCCATGGCCTTACTTAAGTATCTCACTACTTAATTTTTTCCTTTTAAAATATACAGGATGTTATAAATGGTAGGTTCATTTATTGATTCATATGATAATTGCAGTCCTGAAATTATCTCTAACCTTGAGGGAGATTTAAAATACATTGGTATAGGGCGCCTGGGTGGCTCAGTTGGTTAAGCGATTGCCTTCAGCTCAGGTCATGATCCTGGAGTCCCGGGATCGAGTCCCGCATCGGGCTCCCTGCTCGGCAGGGAGTCTGCTTCTCCCTCTGACCCTCTTCCCTCTCATGCTCTGTTTCTCATTCTCTCTGTCTCAAATAAATAAATAAAATCTTTAAAATACATTGGTATAAGGTGGTTTTTGGTTTTAGCTTTGTTGTTGGTGAACCATTTTGCAAGTAGAAAAAAGTCTATTTTATGTCTGATAAATTTAGATTTTTATAAATTAGATTTATTCAAAACAAAGCATTTTCCTAAAGTGCTTAATTTTATATTATTGGAACCATTTTTTTTGTAGACAGTGTATCATAGAGAACTCTGTTTAAATACCAGTTTCATTACTTAATTTGTGAATCCTCGGGCAAGTTGGTAAATCTCTGTCAACCTCACTCTCAACTTTAGTTTGGTGGAATAGTCTTAATAATACTTAATTCACAGAGAAAGTTAATTGTAGTAAGTGAGATGATTGCAAAGCATTTATGACAGTTTCTGTTACCTAATAATTATCTGATACATTTTAGCTACTGTTAGATTTTTATTTCCTATTGTCTTATGCTAATCAGTAATGTAATATATAAATACTGTTAGCCAAAAGTAAACCAGTTAACATATACTGTGAATTTCTCATCAAATAATTTTTTAAGCCCAATAGCACTGAAATGGTTGATTTATAATACCTACATAAAATATAATTAAGAAATAAATATGGGCAGTTCCTACACTAAAGTAGCTTTGTTCCTAAATATGTTTATGTTTTCTACATAATCCAAGTGTTTTGTTTCATACTTAATGCTTAATTGGTAGGATATTAAAAATCTTTTTTTCTGTTTCAGAAAGTCTTATTATTCTAAAATCTTTTTTTCTGTGGGGAGTCAAGAAGATATTGAAACTTATTTGATACTAATGGAACATTCAAAAAACTTGTTATTTTTTCCTTTGCAACTACAATTTCTAAAAAAATTAACTATTATACTATCTTGAGACAAATGTTTGAATTCATTATATTAAGTGGTTATATAATACATACTCCTGGTATTTAAGGAGTGATCAAATATTGAAGCTTTGGTTCATTTTCATAGAAAAACCAATCAGTGATATTTCTTTAACTCTATAAATTCAGGAAGTTATTAACGTAACGATATTCTACTTAGCACTGCCATTCTTGTTAGGTAATTTACTAAGATGATAAAGTGCTTTTTCATGAAATATGAATCATTTGAGTATGAAATATAATTTATCCAAATAAAGTATTAATAACTCCCACTTTATACCCCTGCCCTTCACCTATACTTTTCCTCTTTACTCTTCCACATGCATTTTATCAGTAATAAAGGAATCTTTCAGTATCTACCCCTTAGATCCATTTTTAGGTGCATAAGAGTTACTAGTGATTTTACCAAATTTAGATTTCTTTTCTAGCTTTTTTAATTCTTCATGGCCTATGAAAAGTGTTTATTAACTTACTTTCTATTTTAGGCAAGCCAAGTTAGATATGGGAGTTGCAGCAGCAAAAGTGGAAGAGTTAAATAACATGGCTGAAAATCTTCAAGGACAAATGCAAAAGAAGGTATTTTCCTATTTCTAAGACAACTGGAAGCCTATAGTTTAGTTTCTGTGAATTTTATTAATATTTTTTGGATTAGGTGTTGAGGGTTGCTGGAAAAGAAATTAAAAATCATTTTATTGCTCTCTAAATATAAAATATGAAATTAGGAAGCTAAATTATAATTTTGGAAATTACTTCCATTCACTTTATCCTGAGTCAGTAAAACATTGTAATCATTCCTAGATACATCATTACTGAAAGACATATTAAGACAAGATGAAGTTTGATTAATTGGTAATACATAGATAAAAAGAAGCATGTAATACTACATTTTGTGTTATTTATGGAAATACTTATTGGCATAAGAGACCCTGGTTTTTATGTGTAATAGTGACATTTCAGGAAGGTGTCAAGGAAAGGTCAGGCTTTAGATTTAGGTGGATATAATTATTAAAAATTCTAGCTGTGGTATTTACTAGCTGTGTAACTTTTCTAAGCTTTATTTCCTAATAAGTGAAAGTTGATTATAGATTTCTAATAATGGTGATTCGTGAAAGGCTTATGTAAAACTTCCCATAGATAACAGTTATAAAACTTGGATACATTCTTTAAAACATTGGGACACACCCAAAAACAGAAAGACACTGAAAGAGGTACGAATTGTAAGTTTTTGAATTTCTGACCTGAGAGTTCTTGCCAGCTGCCATAGCTGTGGCTTCAGAAAACAACAGCTTTATATGGACTTAAATAGCCAAGATCAAAGTTTAAGGTAGGAAAAGCAGTTGAAAATTTAAAGAAGAAATATTGGCAACAAAAGCACAACAACAACAAAAAACAGAGAGAGAAACCTAAATTCTGAGTATAAACTCTGACCAGATCCATGGCTGACAGCCAAAGTATGCATATGGGGGTAGGAGAGGGAGTTGAGTGAAAAAGTAGGCAGAGACCTGAAAGAAAACTACTCTTGAAAGATAGAGCTATATGGAACTATATATCTGAGTTTACCACTTCTTATAATTGATTGCATTCCTGAAATGTGTGCTGTTCAAGCAACAGAAAGCTGAAGCCTTAATGTTTGTATCAGAGGACAGAGCCCAAAGCAGGCAGAGCAGGAATCTCCAAGACCAACAAAATCATGAAGAGGATGATCCCTACCCCTGCCCAAACTTCACCAATCCTTTAAGTATGTAGGCACAAGAGAATTTCCAGGAAGCCTAGGTAAAAAAGCAACCATGGAAAGAAACAAGAACTGATTACATATGGCAGCTGCTGCATACTATAGGGGAAACATTCCAGAGCTTGAATCGAGGCAAGATAATTGCCTCCTTGAACAGAAAAACTAATAATCCTCAAGAACAAAACAGAATCCAAAGTAACTGCAATGCATTATCTATATTATCCAGTTTTCAACCAAAACTCTCTAGACAGGAAAGCGTGACTGATGGGGCTGGGGTAGGGGAAGCAAAGCAGTCCATAGAAATTCACTCTCAGCAGACCTAGCTCTTGGATTTAGCAGGCAAAGGCTTCAAATAAGCGGTTATAAATATGTTAAAGGAATTAAAGAAAATGTGTATTTAAGTTAGAGTAAAATAAAGCTTCAGTGATGGAGCAGATAGAGAATTTTAACTGAGAAATAGAAAATAATTTTAAAAATAGAAATTCTGGAGTTTAAAAGTACAGCAACCAAAATAAAAATTTAATTAGATGGGCTCAAGAATAGATTGAAAAAAGCAGAAGAAATAAGCAATGAACTTGAAGACAGATCAACAGAAATTTTCCTATCCAAAAAACAGAGTTTAATTTTTCAAAGTGCTGGAACAAACAATCCTAAAATTTGTATGGACTCAGAAAAGACCCCGAATCGCCAAGGAAATGTTGAAAAAGAAAAACAAAGCTGGGGGC